ACCCTGCCTTGTGGCTATGGGGAAAGTGGCCCAGACATATACAAGCATACATGCACGCACACACGTACGCATACCCCTTTCCACACCAAACAGTTCTGTCTCCCACAGGACCACTGGGAAGAGGACCTTGAGGGATGGACCCCAGGACAAAGGTGAACTCAGATTCTGTTAGGTCCTGCTTCAGACACTGCACAAGGGCCTGTGCGGAGCCTCAGGGAGAGCTTGCAGTGAAATTGCTGTACAAACCTCTCAGGCCTGGAGGTTGGTTTCCTTCCACCACCGTGCACAAGTTCCGGAGAAGTCCTGCTAAGATAGGTGTCTTCCAACTAACCCAAGCCACCGGCACCCAGAGCAGCCTTGTCTCTAAGCAACAGGTGGACAGCCTTTCAGGTGTTCCAAGTCACTGCGTGTGCAGAAATGACCCTTCTCTCTTCCACCTGCTCGGACACGGTCCACACAGTCACCCAATAAATGAAGAATCCCCACAGACTCACAGCCACAAAGGCTGGCAGGTGGAGGTCGCCATCTGAGTCTTGCTCAGCAACTGCTTTTGAATACTGCTGAAGGCTTGGAGTAAAGACAGGCTGAAGCTTTGGCTATTTACATTCTGGACATTAAGGCTGTAATACTTCTTAGCTTTTAACACACTTTATGAATAAAGGTGTTTAGAAAAGGTTTTAGGTGTCTGGCATATGATAGAAAGAAAATGTACATTTTATACTTTTTATTTTACCTACATTTTCCCACTAAACACACGTATCTTCACTATCCCGAAAGATTATTTTATTTAGTATCTTAGAGTTCAAAGACGCCCTTTTATAGTGGGAATGTAACTTCCAATTATATGGTATTATGTAACATTAGGAACTATTTAAAAACTGTACTGAAAGGGTGAAACGGGCCATGAACTCTATCTGAGGCCCAATCTTATGAGGCTCTCAAAGGCTCTTTTACAGATCATTTAGAAAGATTAAAGAAACCCACTCTGCCAGGAAAGTCCTTGCTCAGTCAATCGAAGGTCCCATTAAACATGAAAGAGACCCTTCTTTTCTACTTTCCAACTATAGAGTTCCATCTTGCCACCAACTGCAGCACTGGCCATTTCACTCTTAACTTGCTTTCACGTTTATCACCTCCTTTTATCTGTGACTGCTCCTAAGAGCCACATATAGAGATGGAAAGAACAGCCTCATTGTTTCTTGGGGCATGGGTGACAGTCAAGATCTTACTTCTCTTTCTTTCTCTTCAGTGTCAAGTGCACAAAATCAATACTGAGGATACTGGCCCAAGGAACAGAGAAGGGAATAGATTAGCCATGGCAGGTAGGGTAGGGATCCAGAGATAAGAGTCTGGGAGGAATTCAAGGAATGAAGAGCAATAGAAATAAGAATACTGGCATTTTTTTAGTTAAATTTCCAGCAAGCATTCACTTCTGAATCTCTAAGTGGCAAGGGAATGAAAAATGTGTTTATTTTGGATTACTTTAATACGATGTCTCTACATACGGGGCAGAAGGCACGCAACTTTCTTTGCATGTGTAGCCAACACTTGGGAATCCTACTGTCCAACTAAAGTGAGAAGATCTCTTCTCAGAAATAAGCTACTCTGATATTTGTGACCATGTCTAATTATTGTTTATGTTATTGTCATCTAAATCAGTGTTCTGTCACAAAAGTGTCACTGCTTAAAAACCCTAAAAATAAAACCTAACCCTGATCTGTGAAGATTGTGTGTCTATATGGCATTTAAATAAAATAATTAAGCTGGGAATGACTATTAATCACCATTAATCAAATGAGAGTCAGAAATTGTGCTACCACACAAACAAAAATTATTTTTAATTGTCTCTAAAAATGAATAGACTGCTTTTTTTCCCCTCCCAGAAATAATTTTTGCCTAGAAAGAGCTAACTAAGGAAAATCTGTCTCTTAGGTATGACAAGTAGATTGTTCACAAGCAGCCCCCTTTCCAATTGAAGGTTCTTTATCTGAGCCAGGAACAATGCCACATGCCTGTAATCTTAGCACTGTGGTAGTCCAAGGCAGGAGGATCACAGGTTTGAGTCCAGCCTGGGTAACTTAGTGAGAGATTGTCTCAAATAAAGGGGGTGGGGGCTGTGAGGGTCTAGGTGCCCTGAATGTTTGATCCTTAGTACTGCAAAAAAGAAAGAAAAAAATTTTCATTTGAGAAAACAGAGGATTTCAGAGAAGCTTCCAAATTATAAAAGCAATAATAGATCAAAGAAAACAAGATTTTAAAGGAACTGATTAAAAATACCCATATAAAAAAATCTTTGTTGGGTAGACGTGGCACCAGGTGGGAAAATAATTGGTGAGTCTTCATGAAGAAAAAAACCTCGCTCTCCCCAAACATTAATTATCTTATGGTGAATACATTCAAAATCCTTTCTTCTAGCATCTTTTTTTTTTATTTTAAAGAGAGTAGTAAATGAGAAACAAACAAACAAACAAACAAAAAAAAATAGAACAGTAGTGGCATACCAGTATCACGAACATAAACAAATCAAAGCAAGAACATTCAAAGTGATACAGGGTCTCAAGACAAAATAATACGAATCAACAGTGGTTACATTACATATCGCTATCCTCAACTACATTGCTCAGATTACTAGATGTAAGAATGAAAGATTCTTCTGGCTTCTTGACATACACAGCACATAACTGTCACCTGCAGTCAGATGCTGAGGTTTTGGAGGTGGAGGTGGTGAATGGCTGAAGCATCCCAGTGACTTGGGAATAAGGCAGCAGCCACATCCTCACAACTGGGTGTCCCCTCCACATTTTAGACTTTTCCCCAGGAGCCTGTCTCCCCACACCTTCCTCCATCTCTGTCTCCCTATTTACGTTCCACCCCAGACTTTCAGTGACTTTCTTAAAAATAATCCAATTTCATTCAAAATTATGTCATAATTACTCATTAAAACCTTTTTTTCCTAAGTAAAATTCTGTTGTTACTGAGCTGGCTGACTGGGTTGTTTTGGGAAAGACTTTAGGTAAAATAGTGTAGATCACTCTCAACCAGCAAATCCAGAAGGGGCTGGTGACGATTACATTTTCTGTTTATCATCCGCCTACCATGTGCCAGACACGGTTGTATGAAGTTTCATGTTACCCCAATTCTAAGAACTTTATGCAGGCACTATTTGTTAGTCCTGTCCTACAGGTGATAAAACATGGCATAAGTTTGTAGTCTGAAAGAGAGGTCAGAAAACTATGTCACTGGGTTAAGCGGAGTCCTAAAGATTTGCTGGGACTTGAAGGACCACTCATTTCTCTATAGTAACCATAGCTGCTTTTGAGCTGCCATTGAATACCTGAGCATGAGGGATCAGGACCATGGGGGCCCTATAGAGAAAACCTCACCAAGCCCTTGTGCAAAGCAAGCTGAACTCACAGATAGGAAAGCATAGGTGGACAGTTTCAAGTAAAACTTATACTTTTTTTAGGAAAAAAAATTCTGTCTTTATTGACTTTCTTTCAATTGTATCTTATTTTATCTCTTCTTATCCAAGGTTTACTGACCAACCTCAGAAAAAGAGTGTCTTCATGGTTACACCAGTTCAGTAACTAAGGGTTTCTCTCTCTGTTAGTGAGGTAAGTTTTGATTAGGTGGAAAAATTACTAAGAAAGTAAGAGGGAAGGGGAGCATAAACTAAAGAAAGCTTTAACGACCACACGTTTCTTGAGAGGTTATAAAATTTTTGGCTGTTTCACAGGTATTTCTTTTCAAGGACAAATGACATCATTGTTGAAAGTAAAAAAAAAAAAAATTGGCCTACTTTATTCTACATTTGGTACCACATATTGTTTTGGTTGAGCATCAATTGACTTTTCTATTTTTACGGGGAAATTATGTCATAACTATTTTTAGGAGACACTGTCTGGTTCTGTCATTTGTGGAACTCCACACACAATCATTGCTTTAGAATTTTTTCCCCCTAAACCTCTAATGGTGTGTGTATTTGGCGGAGAATAGGCTTATCAGTAAATATTGTGAAACACATTTTAGAATAAAGGCCTAAAATAGGCAATAGATATCAAGAAATGAAAGAATTTGGTATCTTACCAGGCAGCAAAATGAATATAGCTTTGCAATATACAAATTTGCCCCTGAAATATTAATTTTCATAATTGTAAATAAAAAGTGAGTTAATATCTGAGCTCCACTGGTCATTCTCACTTTATCCTCAAAAGCCTACCTATAAATCAAAGTCAAATTAATAACAGAATTTCCAGAGGATGCGATCTGGTGCATGAGATGAGCTCAATTCACATGGAATAATTTATACAAGTAATTTATAATTATAATAATCATGCAAAATTTTTATGTAAAACCATTTACTTTAAAAGTGAAAGAAAGAAAACATCCAAGACAAGACAGAACTGGAGGTTTTCTTTCCAGCCATCACTCCCTTCTCCCAGAGGCCAGGTGGTACAGGGCCTGGCACATAGTACAGGCTTTGGGCTTGTCTGTGTGTTAGAATCCCCTGGAGATCTGTGGTGAGCCCACTGCTTGGGCCACAGCCCGAGGTACCACTGACCCAGGTATCAGCAGTTTTGGAAACTCCCAGAGGTGAATGAGGATTAAGGCAGAACAGCTAATGGGCTCATCATTTACACCTGACACCTCCTCGTTCCCTAAGAGGCCGCAGGCCTATGCCATCCTTGCTTGCTCCAGCACCTGTAGGTCACTGAGGTCCCTGGAGTAGGATTTACTAACACAAGATACTGGTACACATGAAATACCATCATTCTTGTTTGTGACACATGATTAACTTATGAGTGCATATATCCCATGGATGTTAACCCAGTGAGTATGGACCTATGGTTTCTCTTATGATCTGTTTAAACATTCACACCTTGGCCTCTAAGGAAGCAACACACACTCATCCCCAACCACAAAGAGCTGGGCTTTGCTCTGGGTTTCACAAGCTTCTTTCTCCTTCCTGTCCAACTTGGAAATAGTGAAATTTGCCTTACCTCCACGATGCTTTTTAAATCTTGCACGTAAGTCCTTTCAGTCTCCAGAATTTCCTGCACAACTCTATCCACATACAGGAGCTTGGGACTGGTAGCTGAGTCTGCAGTTGTGTTGGGCTCCCCGTTTGTGTCCAGGCCCCATGGGGCCCTGGGCTGCCTCTCGCTGCGGTGGTCCATGTTCTGTGGCCCCGCAGGGCTGTCCCTCTGCAGCTCGCTGCTGGAAAACGGCCGGGCTGGAACCAGCTCCAGTTTTATGGCCCCTGCTTCCTTGTCCTGGTGAAACAAGCCCAGGTGGCTATTTGAAACCAAGGTCATTCTGCTCCCGAAGGAGCCGTGGCTGTCCCGGGAAGAGGCAGAGGACGAGGTGGAGCCAAAGCTGACAGGTCGGTCACTGTCGGAGAGCTCCATGGTGTTGGGCTGTGCAGATCCGGAATGCTGGGCTGCCGTTTTGAGATCAGGAACCTCGGTCACAGCTGATGGCGCTTCAAGACGCAACTGCTGCCCATCTACATGTGTTGCAGAGAATAAAAAGAACAGGATGAGAGAGGTAAGCAATGATTCCACCAAACTGATGACTGAAAGGAGGTCAGGACGTAACCTGGATGCATACAGTTAACCACCAAAGGGTGGCAAGATGGTAACATGGAAGGAAAGGCAGGCTGAGATGCAGAATGAGCTTCAAGGCCCTGGCCGCAGACCTGTGAGAAATGCAGAGGCTCAGGCTTTGCCCTAGACCTTCTGACCTTGAATTTGCCTCTTCCCGCGATCCCAGAATGGTGCACTCATATTGAAGTTTAAGAAGCCCGACATCCAAAGCCTCCAGTGTCACCACCTGGAACAACTCATCTATGCAGATTAGTCCAGACTTACTAAATTAAAGACTTAGCTGTCAGGGCATGAGGAATCTATAACAAGCACCGCAAGTGGTTCTTATGTACTTAAAAAGGACCCTACGTGATTCCTGTGGAATTCTGAGAAGCACTGTTCCAGATTTTAAATCTCCCTCAACAGTTCTATAGAATTTTAAGCAAGCTCCTGGAAACACTGCAATCAATGCTCGTTAACCACTCTACATTTCCATTTGCACAAGGCATCAAAGGAAGAGTCACATAATGGCAAGTCCCTGCCACCAGGCAAGGAAACAAACAAATACTAAGGCCCACATCCCACTTAAAACTCCTCATTTCAGGGTTTGTCTACATCTCTGCTTGAGAGATGACACACCATTCGCTGGCACATCGTGAATTACACTGTTTGAGAATGTGTTTGATTATAACATTCCACAAGTAAAACTGTAAAATAACAAGAAATATAGAAACTAAGTTAGAAAAGGTAGAAATGGGTCATTAATGTTTCTAAGAGGGCATAAGGAGATAGTATCCACCAACAATAGTGAAAATGATCTTCAAAAGGTCACTCAATATCCACAGCACTTAAAAATGAACCTGGGTCCAAAGAGACCACACATACAAATTAAATTTTCACAAGCTATTTTGATGAAACTCTCAAAGTTCCAATCTTCTTCATTTGTAAGGCAGGATCGACATCTCTCCCCTCATAATAATGAAATTTCAGGTTTACAGAAATGATATGGGGCTGGTGGTGTAGCTCAGTGGTAGTGCTTTCCTGGTATGCATGAGGCCTTAGGTTCCATCCCCAGCACTGCCAAAAAAGGAAAGGAACAATATGCCTTATGATAAAGAAAGTGATTAATAATGAAATTTGCTTCATACTGGCAGGTTACCTTACTACAAAATCCATTTTCCTGGTTGCTTTTTCTTTTTTTTAGAAAAAGGAAAGACTGAAACATGTTTGAAAGGTTGTAATATGACAAACATAGCAACGAGAACATAGATTAATCACCAGTTTTCAGTAGGAATGTGAAGCTGTTTGACTATAATAAAGATCAAACGCCTGGTACCAGTATTTTTAGACTATATCTATCAAGTCTGTATTGTTGAGATTCTCTTCATGGTAAATTAAAATTATGAACATGGAATAAAAGAGCTCACTCTGGGTCAACAAGAAGGAACGGTAAGAAATGTGTAGGAAATGAGCAATTTCTTGGCATAACCGCCACCACATGGTCTGAGTTTGATGCAAACGTTGAAAGCGTTTGTGATATTCCTTGTTTGCTCTATAACAACTTTATGGCCTATGAAACATGTGTTGGTTAGTAGTTAAAATGCATTTGACCTAAACAGCTTGATCCAATTTGAGTGTGGGGGAAAAATCCGAGAAGTAGCCATGCATTCAGGTCTGCAGGCAGCAGGGGACACTTGCCCACTCTTGGAACCGGGGTTAAGAAAGGCTTGGGCAGTTGGCGATAGGAAAAGATGCCAGCAGGTTTTCTTGCCCCAGCTTCCACCAAAACTGCAGCTGGAGATGGATTTCACTGCAGGGAATGGGTACTGTCTTGGGAAGAATATGAGGATTCTTTAAGGTCTCAAGGGTCCAATGAGGCTATGGGTGGGTCATCGAGCACAGGTTGGATATTTTCAGTATGCAAGGCCAAGATGTCTGGACAAGCCTAGATCAAACAGCGTGCCCCCATAGATCTGGGTACACTGGTCTCCAAGGCAAACTTTGATTTTCTAGCTAGACAAAACTCAGTTTTCTCTCTGGTGTAGAAAATGGCCTTTAACAGTTTATGTAACTCTTGCCACTATATTCATTATCAGGACTAGTGAAAAGGAACATAATAGACTCATTTCTTTCTCACCATTTTTTTACTTAAACTTTGAGTTACATTTTTTTTTTTTTTTTTTTTGTGGTGCTGGGAATTGAACTCAGGACCTTGCGCTTGCCAGGCAGTACTTGTGCCATGAGCTATATCCCCAACCCTAATCTTTATGTTTAACTTTTAAAATTATTATTATTATATTATTTGGTACCAGGAGTCAAACTCAGGGCTGTGCGCTTGCCAGGCAGGCGCTTGTGCCACTGAGCTATATCCCTGGCCCAATTATTATTATTTTTTTTAACTTCAAGTTAGACAGCCAATATGGGGTCTGAGAGGTTAAAAATGGAATAAACATTATTTTTAGAGGAGTTTCTCTTGGCTGATAGGGATGGCAACGCCATGAAAACATACTTGCAAAGGTAGGAAAAAGCAAGCTGTGAGACTTAGGCCAACAGGGGACCCCTTCATGGACAGATCTCAAAGAGCAACATAAAAGGTTCCAGTACCAGGCCTTGTGCTTAAACCCACAGGGACCAGCCTGTCCTTCGGGTTGCCAATTAGACACTTTGTAAAAGGGAATAGTGCAGATACTTGGTATCTGTGGCATTTAGCTAAGCTCACTGCCCCAAACAAAATACCTTCCAAAATTACCAATGAGAGAAGTGAGACATTTAAAGTCCAGTCATATAATTTCATGTAATATGACACTACCTTTGCTAATGGACAACATTTTTTATGTTGACTCATTGCTTAGAGGATAATTATAGTTTTCTCATAGAAGGAAATGCACCTCACAAAAACTGTCTAATCTTGTCCTCACCTTTCTCAAAATAATTTAAGATTTCCACCCTGTCTGGACTATTCTTTCTAATACAACTTGCTAGTTATTAACGTTTATCTCTAGAGTTGTGCTGCTCAATGCAGTAGCCAGCAGTCTCATGTGAGTCCTGAGCACTGGCAGTGTAGCCAGTCCATCCCTCAGTCTCCTACTGAGACATGCTGTAGGTGTAAAACATACACTGGATTTCAATGACTTCGTATGAAATGAAAATTGTATAATATTTCATTGATCATCTTTTGGAATAGTGGATTAAATAAAATGCCTTATTAAAATTATTTTCACTATTTTCTTTTTGTTGTTGTTTTTGTTTTTGGGATAGGATCTCACCATATAGTTCAGGCTGGCTTTGAACTCACTATACAGCCCAGGCTGGCTTTGAACTTGTGGCAATCCCCCTGCCTCAGCCTCTGAGTGCTGGGATTACAGGTGTGCACCACCACACCCAGCTCTTGCTGTTAATTTTTTTAAGTGGCTACTAGAAAAGTAAATATATATGAAGCTTATATATATTTTAGTTGGTTAATGCTGATATAGACATCTTATAGATAATTATTCTGAAAGGTTTAAATGTAATTATTAATCTTTGTTCAAACAATAGTGAACAGAGAAAAGCACACGTCTTGGTTTGTTCTTTTTTTTTTTTTTACTCCATCCATTAATATAAAATACTGGTGTTTTGTTTTGGAGACAGGGTCTCACTAGGTATTCCAGGCTGACCTTAAACTCACTGTGTACCCCAGCCTGGCCTCAAACTCCCAGCAATCCTCCTGCCTCAGCCTCCCAAGCCACCACACCCACCAACACAAATATTATTATGAACTAGGAAAAACAGAGTTTGGAGATAACTACAGTGTGGTAGATTTTGGAGTAACTGATGTTTCATGATAAACTGGAAGACTATGGAACAATAAAGTTTTTTCTTCTCCCTTGAATGAAAGATTAACATCTGTGTAATTTGCTTCTTTTCTTCTTATAACTTTCCCTTCCTGAATCCCAAGCAGAGAGCTAATAATATAACAATTTCTAGGAACTAATGACCCATCTCAGGTATATCTTTTGACCTGAATATCCTAAAATAAGCTAGTGCATTGCTCATGGTCACTTCAAGGTCATGGACATGGTGTGATCCTTGCTCAGTCTGTGGAGGTGGAATGAAGCATCTGCTCTGGGTCTTGGAAGCCTGATTCTTAGAATGATAAGGGACACCTGGTCTAACATTTCCTGCTTGTGCTGTTCTCAGTAATGTGAAAAAATGGCTAGGCAGCTCCCACAGAGACATGCAGATAGGCTCTTGCATGTTACCTCATGACAAATCTTTCCCTCTCTTTCTCTCTCTCTGTGTCTGTCTCTATATCTCTCTGTGTCTCTCTGTCTCTCTCTCTGTCTGTCTCTGTCTGTCTCTGTCTCTCTGTCTGTCTCTCTGTCTCTGTCTCTCTCTTTAATTTCCTGGCTCTTCTGCTTCCCCTTTACACTTCCATTATTATAACTGCTGTTCTTTGGAATGTCACTGGCAGAATCAAAAGCAATCCTTCTTGGGTTTAACTTGTTTCTGAGGATGACTTATGTTTCATGCATAACTTCCCTTGGCTTCCTGTACCAGATTACAGGTAGAAGGAGGGATTTCATGGTTTCGTAGCCTGTACGTCCCTATCATAGCTTCCAAGCAGAACCTCCCAAGGCAAGGCGGCAACTTTCCTCACTGCAGAGCAGGATTTCCAAATTCTGTTCATTGCTATTCTATACACCAAACACCTAGTCCGAGTTCCTTGGTGGAGCAACCATGGAAATCAAGAGGATGCGCTGCGCTCATGACCAATGAATAACTGCAATTATGTCTGTCCTTCCCACACCTCCTGTGGGTTACTTGAAGAGGAAAGCGGCAGAATGACCATAGTATAAGCAAGAAGTTATTCTATAGCCAGTACACTCCATTAATATGGGACACAGCAAGTCTTTGTAAACAGCTAACATTGTGATTTTAT